GCTTCAACTTTAAGTGAACTGCACAGAAAGAGCTATACCTGACTGACATCCTAAGCCATACTATTACTGACAGAACAGGGAACACAGAAACGTTGAGCTTACGACGTCCTTCATTGGCATTCAAAACCCTGGGAAGTCACATTTGGCATCACAGACACTATAAACTGTTATCAACGGTGTAAAGAGAAAAACATCTACTTCTCAGTTTCATCCATTGCCTCTGCTTAAAAAGCATCTATCAGCAATTTTCAGCGTCCTCTTAAAATGTCAACAGGTAACATGCGCCAGATGGATTATGACCTCAAACCTAACGGCACTGTCCATAGTCCAAACCTGCATGGGAACCCACCGAGATGAACATAAGGAACTGCTGTAGGAAATGCCGTGGATGACTCAGTTTAGAGTGTTCCTCACTTTGAGTCACTGTTGAATCAATGTCTGATTGTGAAACCAGGTGTTACCGTGCTAACAAAGGTGCTGTCTTCCTAAAAGGAAATCGTTATGCACCAGCCATTCTCTCTAACATTACCGCAAGAGAGGAAAAAGCTGAATTTTTATGAAGCGAAATACAAAGTAATGAAGTGTCCACCTACTACTGTTAGGCATTTTCTACGGTAAGATTTTCAACACTGATGTTACCAACTCTACTGTTTCCAGTTTTAAACCACCTCAAAGTGTTTTACAATTGATGACAGCTAATGACACTTATAACAAGGCTGGTAGATAATAATTTCATTACAAATCCTATGCCATCACAGTTCCCACCATTCAAAGTCTAACAAGCATAAAATTGCACGCTCAGTATGTATGCAGGCAGGTATGTCATTACTCTGACAATGAAATGATAGTGTTTGTAGACAGTACATTAACAAAAGAATAACATTCAGATAGAAATCATCTTTGGTTCAAAATGAAAGCGGGTTGCAAGGAAAAATGCATTTCTTTTTCTACAGAAACATTTTATTCTTTCCAAACTTCCCCTTTCTTCTTCCTAGTATTTTTTAAGTTCTGTGCTTAGCACATTGAAGATTAGTCTCTGAACAATGGATTTCAGTGAAGCAGTTCTAAAGCTCTCACCTCCCCAGTACAGAGGCAGGAAGGAGGAGATCAAACACATTGGCCAAATTTTTTTTCATTATGCACTTCGCATCTCTACGCGGCACGAAACGAAGCAACTTACCCCTCTGCTAAAACATTGTGGACACGCAACATGTAATCATAAGCATACGGAGGCTGCTTTAAACCAAAATAGCAAGCCTTCAGATACATTTCTTCGCTTATAAGAAAGAAGGTAATCTTTACTTAAGTTGTAGTCCTGCTCATCTGCGTTTGAGGAATTAATGGTAACGTTCAGGCCCCTTCAGTACTGATGCATTTGAACACCTCATTCTTTGCTTGCACTGACTGAGGTATACTTGACAAAAAACAATCTACTGGGATGCAAAGGCTCTTCTACAACCCAATAAGGCACGCTTTATCAGCTGATCTCTGTAACACAGCACTGAACACCATTTCATTAGCCACTCTGAAGTCTCTCTTGCTGAAAACTGGCAATGGTATTTTTTTTTTTTACTCTCCCTCTTGATTGCCGTTTCATCTCTTAAAAACACGTAACTGCCTCTAACTGACAGCTCTTAGCATTTCTAAGGCAGCAGCACCGAAAGAGAACAATTCTTCAAGGTTGCAACGCGGTCAGGTAAAACCTAAGCATGTTCCTGTGAACATCACACCCATACCTCACTTTGGTGAGGCACGACTGGCACAGAGACCAGCAAAGATTTTAACTATATATTTACTTTACAGTGCTTTCTTCATCTGTAAATACAAATCCTCTTCATCAAGAGGAATTTCCTGACAGTTTGTAACCCAGCCCCCCCTCCAGAATCTACACGCTACCCCAAGCTGCTGACTTTCCCTTCCTTAGCAAAGGAGGAAGCTACTTAACCATATACCACTAGCAGCTGTCTTATCTCCCCTCCAACTCCACTCCTGAGGGAAAACTGCAGAAGACAGCTAGCAGTACAGCCACCCTCTGGTATTCCTCCAAAGTACTCCTTTAAGGGGCTTCAGTGAAGAAATTGCCATTACCCCAAGATCACTTAGACTGTACCACCTAATACCTTCTTCTGTTTAAGGCTTCTGTTTAAGGATATTCACCTAATAAACATTTCTTTATCACAGCAGCATCCCCAACACATTTTGGAAGCCTCACAAGCTCTACTGCACTGCTTTACGCTGCCACAAGGCACAGTCCACTCTGCAGATACTGAGACAAACAAGGCGAGACACAGAACCACCAACATAACACAAGCAACACATTACAGCAGTCTCCTTTTGCAACGTAAGCAGAACATTCAGGTTTTATTCAGTGTTTCCTCATCACCACCACCACCTGCCTTCTGCCACTACCCAAAGCCCATCCCCACAGGAGAGCTGGGAGAAATGAAATAAAGCCATGTGCTGTACAAAGTAACGAAACTTTATCAGGAGGCTGAGTATCCTTGCCCATGGCCTATCCAAGTCGTGCTGGCTTGCTGTTTTCTCCTTAAATGTTAAATGGTTTGGCTCTACCGCCTGAAAACGCAGAGGGTCAGTGAACAGCTTCCAGCAGTTAGGGTTCGCTCAACTATAACTTCTTCTTTGGTTCCCTTAACAACCCAGTAGTCACTTTTATCTTTGCCTCAGAAACACCTCAGATAAATTGCATGTTGATGTCGGGTTTAAGATGACTGCATTTAAGCGCGTCTAGCCAGATAACTGCACCTAGTAAGGAAGTGATTCGGTATTTGCCTTTATTAATGTAAAGCTAACATACATAATCCAGTATACTTCATATTAATCAGCCCACACTACATGGAACTTATTCAACACGCTCTACTGTCATGCCTAATTTGCCTCAATAACTAGGCAGGTGCCCACAGAGCGAATTTGGGCTACCGATATACAATTTTTATAGCAAAACTTCTACAGAAGGCAAAGATGTGCGGGGAACTTGTTCAAAATGAGCTTGCTGAATATATATTCTAAGATGACATATTAGCCTGAAGATTCATTGAGACATACATTTGAAACAGCCACACAATCCAAAATTTTACAAGAGGGTAATCAACATACCAGAAGGTTGGTGGTACATGTGAGTGCTTTACTCTAACTACTCCTTCATTTGTCACTGGACAGAGCGTGTTGAAAGTCTAGTATGCAGCCTTCACATAGAAAAAGGATACTGAAATTGAATCTAGACAGATGTTTTTATTCAAAGACCAAAACCAAAAATCTAGCGGACTGAGGGAACAAACCAAACGAGCATGTTAAGTGTCATTTTGATCTTTGCAGAGAAAGGACTCATAAGCGTTTGGGGTAAAATCAAGCTCCTCAAAAGTCACAGCAAACCACATATCAAAAATTACCATTCTCTTCAGAAATAAATGTTACATATTTAATTAGACAATCATCTGCCAAACAATGCTTAAAAAGGTACTTTTTTTCCTTTTTGAACTATAAATCCCGTATAACTTAAACCTCTACCACAAAGGACGCGATTCCTTGTCCCATACGATACCGATTTAAAGCAAGTTTACATGTCATTCTGTATCACAGTTAATTCCTGACCACTAAGCGTCCCTTGGACAAAACGCTGACTGGGGCTTTGCAGCTGAGGAACAGATGTGAGGAGAACACTCTTATTTCTGGAGCAGAGATGAGAAAACAGGAGACCATGGGAAGACTCAAGTGCTCTGACAAGACAGACGGGCAGACATCGGCCAAAATTTGCAGCCTTCGACAGAAAAGGAACAAGTCTCCACGAACGTACGGAGGAGGAAGCACTGCTATACAAGAGACAAATCAGATGCTGGCTGGAAAAGCAGCCCTCTGTTGGCTCCCAGCAAGGACCTCATTTGTGAGCACATGATTTTCCAAAAAGGGCTTAAATGGAAAATAACATACAGAGAGATGAGGTTGAAAGCACAGAAAACAAGTTTCCTGTCTGGCATATATCCTGCAAATGGAACAAGAAGAATGAGTTCTGCAACAACAACAACACATCAGAGAGGAATCACTGAAATAAGAGAATTTATTCCACAGACACAAGGAGCCACAAAGGACTGATAAAAGTATTTTTCCTTAAACCCGTGTCCATCTTGTGGGACTCCCTAAGGAGACAATCCAACCCCCAAAGTGTCTCCAGACCTTTAGAACTTCATTTACCATTTAAATCAAAAATGATGGGTAGGGGAGGGGAAACAAAACTTAATATTTTACTTTTTGTGGATGTTATTTTGTGTGTGTGTGTGGGGGGGGTGTTAATATTTCAAATTGGATTATAAAACTACATACTATCTTCTTGGTGCTGGCATGTGTAACATACACCACAGGAGCACTCCGAGAACAGAGATTATTTATGAAGGCCAATTACTCTGGTTCTGTAGCTTATCTTGATTTCTGCAGCGGAGAATAGCAGCCTTTTAATAATGAAGTAGCTGTCTCAAGGCTCAAGAGCAAAAACAAACAAACAATAAAACAAAAAAGGTTCGATTGCAGAACAGAGCTTAAGAAATACTAACTGAAACATGCTTGCTCTAACACAGAGATCTCGACCCTTAGCAGGAACACAGAGCCGATTCTAGCAGTTAATTAATCATCTGCGGTCTACAGCAGCTGTTTCTGTAGAGCTCTCCTATAGCTGAAGGAATTTTTTCACCACGGAAATTCCTTAAACGACAGTGCTTGAAGACAAAGCATTTTTAGAAATGAAAGTGCACTGCTGAACACTTCCACAGCGCTCAGGGAGCCTGGCTGAACACGTTTTGCAAACGAGCGTATCTGAATGTGGATTTTTATTTATTTCAAACACACCATATCCCTCCTCTTTACCTAAGGATGAGATCGTGGCTAGAAAAAGGGGTGCAGAGTGCCTATTATGCGATAGGATACACTACTGTTCATAGCTAGGTAGCTAATTAAACCATTAATTGAAACATCTGCATCTACTACATAATTACCTTTGGGCAAAAGTAAGCCCAGCTTTTCGTGGCTGTAAAAGGATGGTAGGGAAAACACCGTGTTAAGGCCTCTTGTCCCCTTACAAAGGTTTGGCATGGCTGCAATCCCCCCGTTGCCCTCAGAATGGTCCTTGAAGAAGAACGTGCTCAGCACCTGATACAGATCTGGCAGTGACTTCACTCCTAGCTCCTCAGAGGGATTCACGATGCCTGAAGAAGAAAACGAGACTCTCAGAAAGGTTCAACCCCTTAAAATCAACTCTATCCATAAGGCCAAATTTGACTATAGTTTTTCATACTTGACGACGTCATCCTACAGCTAATTTAATATGTTCCACTGCATGCATTTGCACTAGAATAAGAATCAGAAGAAGGCTAAGTAATAACAAGTCTTCCATAATCCTTCCATCCCATGCCCACAGCTGCTTTGCACAGTCCATTTCAGTGGCACCTTCCGCCATCCGCACAAGAAGCGCCATCAGGCGATCAACATCACCTTATCTCAGTGATCCAAAGAAAGCAAATCCCCCAGGGCAAGCTCCTGGAGCATCTCCATTCGATTTGCCGAGTCTCACGCAAAGCTAGACTAGACTGCGTCCCCTTACATCATCATAGATTTGGTATGATGCAATCAAAATTACATATCTTGAATTTAGCCTGAACTGTAAGTTGCTGTGCATAGCACTGACAAGACAGAAATTATTTAGAAAGCCTCAGCAATGCATGAAGCCAAACTTGTGGATGAGCTCTGCTGGAAGATGCAGGAACACTAGCTTCAACTTCTTGTTCTGCTAAAAACCTCTCTGATTTTTTTCCCCAGATCATTTGTCCCCCATGTTTGACTCAACTTCTCACCTTTCTCAGGGGGTTGTCTCTTCAGACTGTAACTTCTTCAGTCTGGCCTATCTCACTACACACACAGCAGAAGCGAGACTTCTTATTTAGGGGCTTTAGAGGTGCTGTAACACGAAATGCAATTTGTAGCAGTTGCAGTTTTACTAACTGGAAAACAGGGATAGGAGAAAGGGGAAACCACGTGAATGGTTTGTTCATCTATTAATTTTTCAGTCTTGGACAATGTTTCTCTTCTAGAAAGAAAAAAAAAATCTCCTTTGTTAGGGGGTTTTCAAGCTGCAAAATCAGCTAAGAACATACCTAGACTAGACAGTCTACCCTTGGACTATCTTCACTGCCACCATCCTTTTCTCTTTCTGAACATTTGTCCCAGACAATCTCCTGCTACATCTTAACATATTTACACACTACACAATCTGAGATAGAATCTCTTCAATGTTTTGCTGCCAGCTCTTG